GCAGGAATGGAAAATACAGGAGAAACTGCGTGAACAATTTCAGCAAAAATGCATAATTACCAAAACTAGAACATGGTCAAGAAAGCAGGAGACTAAAAGTAGCATCAAACTGTTTATGGTATGTAAATGTTATGTTACATAACATATATTGCAACAAGATCTTCAGTAACCAGTAGTGATTTTTTAGGAAGACAAAGTAGAGATACTCCAGTGTATCTCTTCACACCCTGCATGTACAGAACACTGCCTACCAGTAGGAATTTTGCAGTAACAAATTACTCTTCGAAGCTCTCACATCTTAAATCAGAGGGTCTGACATGATCAAAACACAGGCAGCATAGCTGCATAGATCACACGTTTGCATTTTCTGCCAAGGCTATGGTCTAACCAAAATAATGGTGTGGGGTGGGGTGTTTGTTTGTTTGTTTGTGTGGGTTTTTTTTTTTTGAAAGTATTCAAAGGGCTTCTCCAGGATCAGTACAGAAAGCTCAGAAATGGAGTTGTGGTTTTGCCAAAATATTTTCGACCTGGAAATACTATTTTTCCAACTTCTTTTGTCAATGTGAGTTTGCTCTAGTGTATAATGATAAGTTTTCTTTCACCCACAAAGGTTTCATGAGCGCCAACCTACTTTTCAGACATTGCCAAATTATGAGCAGCTTTTGTGAATCACTGAACAGTGGGACTAGATTTGGCGAGAAATGCTGAAATTGCCAGTGTGCTTTCCTAACCACAGCCACGTTCCCTACAAAGATATCATCAACATCTTGCACGTAATATACTTAATTCCTGTAAAACAATCATCCACTCAGAAAGTTCCTTTTTGTTCCTCACTGGCCTTTTTTATAAGGGCTACCAGAGGGAAGGTTTGGCCTTTCCTGTCACATCTAACCACGCATTCCTGTCCCATCCAATGTGAAAACGCTAGCACGTGTGCTCATGTAACTCACTGCAGCCACAGTAGGAGGGAGGTAGAAGTGAGCTGCTGAGTAAGCTCCCTTTTGTAGGAGACAACGCTAATGCTAAACTGAAGGGACGCAGGAACCATTATCTAAAATCTTTGATGACCATGCGAACTTCATTATTGCCACAGTGGAGCATATGCTGCCTAAGTAATTGGAACAGCATACTTCTGTGACCACAGTGAATGTGATCAGGAAACTGATCCAACTTAAAAACACAACTCAATTAAAAAAGTGTTTTTTTCCCAGCTGGAGTGGCTTCCGAAATGTTTTACAGCATAGCCTTGTGAAAAGCATTTCTTCTGAACGCTTCACCTTGTGAAACTATACTTTAATCCCCAAAGTCTGTCTGCAACAATTTGCAAAGCATATGGTCATCACATACCCACAGCAATCCCAGTTACATTTAAAACTCCTATATAGGTTAGCTTTCTAGTTCCAAGTGGCGGATACACTGTCAACACTGAAATACATCTAGTAGTTACCTCCTTGAATCAGTAAAATAAATGTTTCTGGTAGTGAAATCTCTTAGTGGATATTTACTAATAGTCTAACTACGTTTTACTGGCTGACAAAAATTTTGGCTACTGCTAATTTTTTTGCTCTTAGGTATATATGTGCAAAGTATTAAGTAAGTAAGTGATCTGTTTCTCTTTTTTTCTGCATCCTGATGCCATAAACTATGTCAACGGCATATAATTCAATCTTTGTTAGCACATTGAGATAGTTGGGTTTTTTCTGTTGAGTCACTGGAAAAATAACATTAATAGTGTACAATCTGATTTGCTCCTCATAATAAATAAAAATGCTGAATATAGAGCTTGGTCTCTTCATTCATTCACGTACTTTCATCTTGCTTATCCACAGTTGTACTGTAATCTATTTTGCTAACTAGATACTTATTTTTGTTAGGAAAGAACAATTGACCCAACTGTTCGTATCAGAAAATAGTGGGAAGTTTATCCTTGACATGGGAGAAGATTACTGCATAACTGTCAAACTGGAAAAAAATTAGTTCATGGATTTAGGGACAAGTCCTGCTTTTATATCACTATACACAGCATTCTCCTCGGGCCAGCTTTTCAGTAGGAGGAACTGAGAAAGTAGTTAACAGCAGAGTTCCACTACAGTCAATCTTTTCACTAAGGGAATGAATTAAAGAACTCAAACTTGCATGCATGCTGGAGAAAAGGAGGGGAAAAGTCCTGGATTAGAGCCCACCAGCTAATATCCTCCCTTTCCAATTCTATTTAAGCAGGGTTTCTATGAAATCGAGAATCCAGGTTCTCAGTGTCAATAGAAGCCTCTCTGTGTATCCAAAGCTAAATTTGGGGGTTATTTACTATATTAATTTTCTTCCAAAAGTCAAAACCAAACACCTACAAGTGAAACAAGAACTGCTTGTATTGTTTCAGGAGTAAGAAGCTATGTTAGTTTGAACTAATTGAAGTCAAAACAGATTATCTGCATTAAAAATTTCTGCTTAAGTAATGCTTGGTTTCATCACATCACTGCTTTTTGCATTGGTGTCTTTGTGAGCAGAAATATTTTGCATTGAAAATGTCATCATATCTATAATGTCCTTTTTGGGGTTTTCTTCTAAGTCAGATTTTATTGCTCCGACTTCTGCTAGCTTCCATTCGAGCTCTGTAACAACAAATGACAATTTAGGCTGATAATTGCAATAAACGATTACAAAATACATTTATTCATAAAATACACATTATTTTAAAATTTTAGACAGTTGCTAACTACATTTTCATACTGTGTTAATTAGAACTAGATATAATCACAACAGGGATAGCAGACCATCTGACAGCAAAATTGCTCACTTGTGCTTTGGCAGCACTGCAATGGGTAATCCTGATGGGAGACAAGGGTCTCCAATTTCTTCTTCCCCTCAGTCTGAAGACCTTCCAACATGAAGGAAGATGTTCCAGCAGCGTGAAATTTACCCGAGTCTCCCAATTATCAGGCAGGTGCAGAAACAGAGATTATCTATTTGAAAACATCTGGATCCTTACTTTTTTTTTTAATACACAAGATTCCAATTTTATTTCCCAATTTTTCCTAAAAATACATTTTATAAACTTGTGGTAAATAATTTTGGGTGAGTTAGAAGAGCAGTACTCTTCATGTTTTTCAAGAAAGGCTTCCAAATATGAGTTAAATATAAAGTGATGCAATATATAACCTGAATCAGAGGTAGCCAGGAATAACAGAATTAGTATCAAAACTATCCAGTGAAATTGGTAACAAGGAAAACAGGTGACCATTTAAAACCCCGAATAAAACTGTTAAATTCCAATCAGTTTTTATTTTTGGACATACTGGCAGATGTTGAGGTCATGCTCCATGAACAGAGAGTGGGGAGTTGTGGGAATAAATGAACAAAGTGGTTAGATTTCACGGTAACAGACCCATATATGTAGTTATGATAAAATAGCTTCAGAATGTTTTTTAATAAAACTTGTTCTGATATAACCCAGAATTACGTAGAAGAGAGAACAGAGGAATTCTTGTAAAGCTGATCTGTAGGCCTCTACAAACCTTAGATCAATACACAGATAATACAATTTGCCCCTAGTGTAAGTAAGTCAAACACCCCAAGACAAATTAGGGAATACAGTAGAAAAACCCTATGAACATATTAACCACATTAAACACTTTCACTTAAGAAGAAAAGGATCTTTTATTAGAGAGCAAATTCTTCATCTCACCAAAAATATAGAGAGCCATCCTTGCAACAATCCAAGTTTACCTCAGTACACTATTTAACTGTGAAATGGCAAAATAGCATGCTTATTAAACATTCTTACCAGAGCAGAATTACATAAATTATTCCTTGCTCCTTTTCTACAAAAGTGTTTAAAAATCTTTTCCAACTTTGTTAATAATCATCAGATTTTAAGATCATTGCTCAACCTTAATATTTTCTACAAAGTGAATAATTAAAAAAAAAAAACTCTCTTACCTTCCACTTTAAGATTTATGCCCCCACATTCAGCTATTCCAATGAACCTGCCTTTTATTTGACCAGTTTTATATACAAATATTGTGGGTAAACATCTGTCATGGTAATTCTGAATGCAGCTGTTCACAATGGCTTTGACAAACTTGGCTTCTGGAAACTTCTTGGCTAGCAGGCCAAGATGTTGGTTAACTAGTAAACACATTGGGACGCTAGAAAAGAACAAGGGAGTTTGACGACACTTCCAGTGTAGTGATTCGTAAAACAACTAAAGTCTATTAGAAGCAAAGCTTTCGAAGAATAAATGTACCTTTACATGTGGTTAATCACTTTCTACTTTAATTTGTGACAGGGTTTACGGTATAGATTTTATTTAACTTTTTCTAAGAAAAACATTTTAGTTCAAAGAGCCATCCAAGTAAAAACTTTCAATACATATATAATCGGCACAGCATATGAAATACATATCATTAAAGCTACCGGAAGCTTCAAGCATTGTGCTTTAATTTTTGTCCTCCACTAAGATTTTAAAGCTCACTTTGTCCATTTGTCCAGGGTTTAAATTAAATTTAAAGGAAATTTTAAAACTATAATATAAATTTCACTGTAAGTTACTTAAATTACCTTCCAGTTCAACATTTAATTACTTCTCCAGTGTTTAATACCGCTTGAATAACCTCAAGGAAACCTCTGCGTAGTCATATTACTACCACAGGCCTGCTCATTACTTTCATAGCTGGTATTTGCGATGCAATCACCATATTAGCCTCATTGAAAAAAGCAACGTTTTTTGTTGGCTCTTCCTTTAGCCTTTTAAAATTAGGATCTTTATTGTAACAGATTAAAGTTCAAGAAGCTGATTTATCATAAGAGACCCTCAAAGAGTTCAGCAGTACCCTCTGGTGGCCAAAGACAGATAGGGTTGCAGTTTTAGAATAACACAATCTGTTACTCACTAGCCACAACAGGCTTGGGAGATTTGGTATTCATTCCTAAGGAATTACGAATTTCCTCACAGACTCACAGTACATTTGTGTACTGATGAAGTATAGAGTTGGTCATCTAGTAAACAAGAAAATGAAAAGGAAGAAAACCTTCTATTTTGTTCTTCAGATCTTTAAATTACATTACTGTAATTTGAACAATTTCGTTTCCTTGACCTATTCCTTGCTCCTGGAAATAATGCTCCATTCCTGGCAGTTAAAAAAAAAAAAAAAGAAGAAGAAACTTCCTCCCAACAGGCTTAAAAAGAAGGTAAAGAAGGTAAAGAAGGTAAAGAGAAAGCTGGTCTGAATCTATAAACCATGTTCTTAAGCATTCCATACTAATTCTCAATGCTTTTGAAAATCATGTGATAGTTGTTAACATATGCTGAAGTAATCGTAGGAGTCTTTTGACATTTCTGCTAGATCCTGTCAAACTGCTGCTACTAGTAGAGAATTTATTCAAGAATTGATAAACTAACAATTTCCCTAACGTTCCTTGATTTTTCAGAACCGTTCCTTACTGGGCTTTTGATTTATTGGAGTCAATGGGAATACAGGTAGAATAATCCTGTAAGAGAACACTTCCTGAAAAAAGGAGTCTGCAAAGGAACTTCCTTTAGCACAGAAAGTGGACACGAGTTTCTCAGTGAAATTCAGAAATCTCAATGACATTCAGTACATGGTGATAAGCGTAAACCTTAAGAAATCTTTCATACAAATGATGAAAGGTGAAGTGATCAATTCTCACAAAGTGAATTAACAAATCAAGGTGGCCCCATTCTGGAATCATTTTCCAGGATTCCACTGGCCCCAAACAATGGCTATTTCAATAAAGTCTCTTTGTTATATTTCATTTTTCTTGGCAATGCTTTTTTCTTACCATCTGAATTCTTTCTATTGAAGTTCTCAACATCTTAAACAAAAAACTAATTACCTTGATCGATAAAGATGAATTATAACCCAAACATCTTCTGGAGCATTTGTGACTTCCTTTACATACTGCTCTCCACATATTTCTCTTAGCTCCCCATACTTCTGTCTCCGCTGAAGACACTTCCATTCTTGCAAGCGTTGCTGCCTAATTAAAAAATAAATGCCTCTGGAAAATTTTAAATGCATATTATAATAATATGTAGTGCATTTCTCTCAATTCCTTTAAACAAATTGCTTTGAATAATACTCTGTAGCTCAAGGTCTTTTAGTATCAGTGGAATATCTTGGGAGTTAGAAAGGCTTCTCTGCTAATCTTTATTCAGTAATAAAGCATTAAAATGTATTTTCTTCTTTTATGTGCACACATTAATGTCAGATTTGGGAAACTTAAGTAAGGAACGTGTTACACAAGCGTCTTGATAGTGGAGATACAGCAAGAAAAATTAAAGAAGGTGAAAATTGTCTTTATAATTTTGAAAATGAGATTAGTTTGAGCAAGAATTACTAGTACTTGGTGTCCTAGTATTATACAATGTAATTTTACATTTACATGAAAATTGGAATGTTAAGACAGTAGATGGCAGTCTTCAACTCTAAAAATATTTACAATATAGACAATGAAAAATGCCTTAAGATTTGCTAAACTAAAAACAGCTATTGATTTTCATATAGAAGTGACTTTCTTCTTAAAAAAAAAGTGGAATAATATATGTGCATCATTATTTTACTCTAGCAAGAATGCAAGATAAATTTAGGTTCACAACTTTCACACGATGAGAGCATGATTATCTTTTTATGAAGATACAGCACTAGATACATGGAGTTAATGCTAGAATTATTTTAGTCACTTTAACAATGCAAAAGCACTGAGTATGGATAGTCTAGACAGAGGAAATGTTTTGATCATGTTAGTTTTTTTATTCTGCATACACTGCATATCTTATTTTTCTTAGTGACAGTACCAAGCTCTGCAGAACTTAGCAAAGTGCTTCATAAATATGTGGAAGAAAATATACATGTGAACATCCACTATAACTAAAAAAGATATAAGTGAACATCCAACATAACTAAAAAAAGTTGCCTTATAAGCTGCCAAAGTTTTCTGAGCCTGAAGTCATAAAACATACTGACTCTGCATCGTATTATAAGTAGAAAAGATTGGTGTACTCATATTACATAGTTGGTTGAGGACCTAGGTTGTTCTCCAGTTATGCCTAAGTACAGTGTATGGTATATAAACTTCAAAAGAATATTTTCCTTAAGTGAGAAACAAAAAAGCCATTAAAATGAAATAGGAAATGAGGGAAAACAAACATAGAAGTTCTATATTGGGGGTCCAAAGCTAACTCAATAAATATTTTATATCTTATCAGTTTAAAATATAAAAGTTTTATTCCAGCACTGAAATATGGTTTTTGCTTTAATAGCATGCCACCCTGAATTAAAGTCCCTTTGTAGGTAGCATGGACCCCACGTGCACAAATTCAGTACCCTTTGAAAAAATGGGGCTATATGTGCCTCTTGTTTCTCCTCACGCTCTTATGCAATGTGATAGAGAGAGAGATGATGAGAGAAAGGATACCCACAACCGACTCCGTTTCATCCTGATCTGAAATCTACAGAAACTGATATCCAAAAGAAAAGACAAAAAATGGGTTACCAGGTAAGCTCAGGAAGTGCGGGCTAGATGAGTGGACGGTGAGGTGGATTGAGAACTGGCTGAATGATCACGGGTTGTGATCAGTGGCGCAGTCTAGTTGGAGGCCTGCATGTAGCAGTGGCCCCCGGGGGTCAGTACTGGGTCCAGTCTTGTTTAACTTATTCATCAGTGACCTGGAGGAAGGGACACAATGCCTCCTCAGCAAGTTTGCTGATGATACTAAACTGGGGGGAGTGACTGATACCCCAGAGGGCTGTGCTGCCATTCAGAGGCACCTGGACAGGCTGGAGAGCTGGGCGGAGAGGAACCTCGTGAAGTTCAACAAGGGCAAGTGCAGGGTCCTGCATCTAGGGAGGAATAACCCCATGCACCAGGACAGGCTGGGGGCTGGCCTGCTGGAAAGCAGCTCTGCAGAGAAGGACCTGGGTGTCCTGGTGGACGACAAGTTGACCATGAGCCAGCAGTGTGCCCTTGTGGCCAAGAAGGCCAATGGTCTCCTGGGGTGCATTAGGCAGAGTGTTGCCAGCAGGTGGAGGGAGGTGATCCTCCTCCTCCTCTACTCAGCCCTGGGGAGGCCACATCTGGAGTGCTGTGTCCAGTTCTGGGCTCCCCAGTACAAGGGAGACAGGGCACTCCTGGAGAGAGTCCAGCGGAGGGCTACAAAGATGATGAGGGGACTGGAGCACCTCTCCTATGCAGAAAGGCTGCGAGAGCTGGGCCTGTTCAGTCTGGAGAAGAGAAGGACTGAGAGGGGATCTTATCAATATGTATAAATATCTGAAGGGGAGGTGTCAAGAGGACGGGGCCAGGCTCTTCTCACTGGTGCCCAGCGACCGGACGAGAGGCAACAGGCACAAACTGAAACACAGGCAGTTCTATCTAAATCTGAGGAAAAACTTCTTTGCTGTGAGGATGACAGAGCACTGGCAGAGGTTTCCCAGAGAGGCTGTGGAGCCTCCTTCCCCGGAGATATTCAGAACCCGCCTGGACGTGATCCTGGGCAATGTGCTCTAGATGACCCCTGCTTGAGCAGGGCGGTTGGACGAGATGATCTCCAGAGGTCCCTTCCAACCTCGACCACTCTGTGATTCTGTGGACATGTACAATAGTCACACAGGCACTGTTAATCTGGCTAGGAATATCTTGCTATACCTGTACATTTCAACAGCTTTCATATCAGCCTCATCAAAGTCATCTTCAGCTTCCTTTAATTCTTTAAGATTCATTCTTTCATAAGGTTTCACTAGAACAAACAAACAGAATGTTAGTCATCTTTTGTTCACTAAAGTGTCTGCAAACACTTTAAATGTCTGTATGAAAATTATTACATAGTTATGGAATTAATGAAAGAAAAAATGTACATGTCATTTAAGAGATTAGTCAACTTTAGTATACCTTTGGGTAAGAGAGAAAAAATAAAATTATTTAACCGTAACTAATATTTACTTGCTTAAGTACTTGCATGCACTATGTCCCTGGATCTAACAACATCTGTACTGGGTTCTACTTCTGCCCAGACCAATTGGTGGGAGTCTAAAAGGACTGCAAAAGTCTAGAAAGGACTGCAAAAGTCTACAAAGGAATGATCAGAGATCTAGAAAAAACAGCCTAAATATAAGTCCAAAAGAACTGAAGTTGTTAGTATAACTGTGATTTAAACAGTGTAGTATGCAGTGGTGTGCCATTCTGCCACTTTTTTTATTTTTGGATATTACATTTTAAAACATCTTTAGGCAAACACCATCCTGATGAACAGCACCTTCAAGAACTTGGCAGAAGCTACTGCTGAAGTCAGAAAGACTATGTGTTTTCCCTGCTGTAATTCGTCAAAAGAACACAGCAGATTGTCAAAGGAAAGCAGAGAGCTGAAAACTGCTGACCCAACCGTAACTTGCTTCTCAATTTGGAAGTCTGGAACTTGTCAGAAAGTGAGAATTTCTACAACACCTAACACATACAGCCTAAGTAGCTCTACGCAAAGCTGCTTGTCTGCAGGAATAGAGTTGGTACCAAGAGGCACAGTTTTACACAGAGGTGCCACTCCCGGTTCCTACTATGGTTGTAACTACACTTTCATGCTTTCTGTTCTTCAAAGAGAAACTACAGGAAGCCACAGTAACAGTAACAATTTTCTAATACATACAAATATCTGTAAAGGAAAAGAAAATATATTTTTCTTCATGCTCACTTCAGACAGGACACGGATGTTCGCATGCCAATACCTGATTTTGGACAGCAAAGATACTTGATGTACAAAATTGTGATGACAGATATAAAGGACTGTCTATTACATTGGCTCATAAATGGTAAGATTTTTCACAGAAATTAAAAATATCAATCATATGGAGAGTTTGGAATAATGGAAAACAGTTACAGGAAGACAAATATTTTCCCGCTGGAAAGGAGGGAGAGCAGTTGTATTGAAATCCTCATGTTTTTATCAAATTACAGGAGTGGATTACTACCAATTGTCTGAACATGAATCTTGCTTATATTGACTGCTCTTTACTAAAAAGACTATACTGACTGCTCTTTACTAAAATGATGAAAATGAGTTACCTGTACATAATAGATGTCATAATGTTTGTCAGTAATGTTACTGTATGTTTAATTCAGTATACTTTTTAAAATAACCATCAACTGAGTGAAAATAATTAAAATAATATAATTATTATACAATATTTATGGCTCAAAAAGGATTACTGCAAATACCTCAGCTTGTCAAATGTTGTTCTACTAATGGCACGTATATTTTGACTTCACTTGCCTTCTGCTTCTTTCTGCAAGCGTAAAACCATTTCTTCAATTTCATCTTTTGGTTTTTCTTTTGGAGGAAGAATTCCAAAGTCTCTCAATACATCATTCCATTCAGTATCTTCATTTGGATCCTGTTTTGATATTATGAAACAAAAATAAATTAACAAACTCGTCACCCTTGCCCCTTTTTTAAACCAAAGCCAGCCCTTTTTCATTTTGGCATACAGTAAGGCCATAACAAAGGCAAACCATTACTGAGAGTCTGCAATATCTTCATGGACCACTTTCTAATCTATCTAATGAATTTTCATTTGGCATTTTTCACTTCTGCACAGACAGCAACAAGAAAATAAGAGTAAAAAAAACCCAAACTCTAAATTTAAGCATACATAAACCTATCAGTCTCCAAAATATCTGTTAAAATTTTGTCTAAAAGATATATAGAAACCTTCTTCAGAAAGCCAGAACATCACTCATCTACACATACTTAAAGAAATACAAGTTTTATACAGGCATGACTTTTGTATAACGACATTTAATGACACGTAAAAGCATGCCTAGAATCAGAAAAGAAAAAAAAACTTTTTATTTTAAATGAATGATTAATATTAATGTGTCAACATAAGCTACCTCATATACCACGTTTATTTATACCACAGGACTTCTGCATGTATATATGCACATAGGAAAAGGTGAATAAAAGTTTAAGTTTTATTTTCTCCTTCTTTGGTTGAAAAGTATAACCCATTGGAAAAACTAAAAGAGAAGCTCCACATATAATCATAAACTAGATGGTCACTAATGGGCCTGGCGTAGGAATAACCTGAATAAAGATTTGCTATAGCATAATTCCTAGCATTTATTTTTGTAAAAAATTTTGTCTTACTGTTTGTCTTACTATAAAGTTTTACATTCTTCACCAAAGAAGAATTTTGACTCAGGTACAGTCAGGATATCAAAAAGCCCACAGAACTAAGAGGACTACTCCAGGGGAACCACTCAATAAACAAGAGTGACAAACATGCACTTTGGCCTCCATTACAAATGTTCTCGTGCATATGATTTCCTGACTTAGGTCAGGATTAGATTCTGCTTCACAGAATGCAACTCTTTTTCCCTAGCAGAAAGATTATGAAGGATTATGAGGCATAAAACCCATAATAATCATTAATCCTAACTGGATAAATAAATTTGAAGACCATAGGACAAAAAAGGACTACTGAAACAGAGGCTGAATGTGTGTTTGCCAGGAAAGATTTTGACACTTTGTGTGTTTTTCTGTAAATGTATGTCCTAAAGAAAATCTCTCTACAGTATTTTACTTAAACTGTGTACTTTACACCATTTCTATTTAATGATTACAACCCTCAACAGGCTTGTGAATTGATTAACGGATTGCACACTGGACCTTCTTTCTCTAGGTGCTTTTACATCTTGTAAAAGCAAGAATTGGCTCAAGAATACTACACTTAAGATCACAGTAAACGTAACAGAAACAGGTCTCTGAGGTAAATCTGAACTCCAGTGTCAAGGAAGGGAAAGATCAGAAGCCACCAAACTTTTCACAGTTTTTAATAAACTGAGTTAAATCAACGTTTAAGAGCCTGAGCGTTAACATATCGGTGTAAGTTTGCAGCATATGCACAGAAGAAATAAATTGCGTGTCAAGAACTTCAGCAAGTATTTGACAGTAACTGGCAATGGAGCCAAGCAACAGCAAAAACGAACTGACTTAAAATTGGTTGCAGTAGCGAGAAAGCTGGAGTACCGAAGCAGTATTACTCAACTACTTGGTCACAATCCCAAGCGAGAAAACTTCTCATGCTGCCAGTGATAAAATTAGTTACCACTAGCTTTGCCAGGGGTGATACTCACACATAATAAGTTTGGGAACCCCTAGGCTGGGTAACTTCAATTCTGGAGCATAAATAACACTTCTAAGCTAAATTTAAATATTAATCTGCAATTTCCTCTTTGAGTGAGTGACATGATGCTTTACAGTATGCTACATCTATGATCATCCAGCTGCCAAAGTGCAGTACTTTCTTATTCTTGAAGGATATTAATGATTAAGTTAATGGCTAAGAATTCACCGAGCCTCCGTGAGGCATCTGCACGAGAAACCCCACACCAGCTACTCCTGCCATCGCTTCTCCAGCCGCCCCGCGGAGGCTGCCAAGGCTTCGGGGAGCCG